TAATATTAATAATAATGATAATGATGATGATATGATGAAAAAAATAAAAAGTATCAGTATTAAATGGAAAATAATAATTTCATTGATTTAAATGAAATAATTTACAAATGAAAAATATAATTGATTAAAATATTAAATATAACTATACTTCGAATAGTGTTGACCATCTTGTTCCAAACCATATAGATTTTAAATAATTTTTCTTTTTCATATTTCGTGTAAATATTTGATTTATTTATTTATTTATTTATTTATGGGTCGTTGATAATTCTTGTTAAATTCGAAATAAAAACAACACGTTTATTTTACTAAAATATTTCACTCGTATATCGATAGGATCTTTTTGATTTAAAAACAAAATAAAATAAAAATAAAATAAAGTTTTTTAACACAGAAAAAAAGTGATAAACGTTAATTAGTTTTTATTTTAATTTGTCTTTTTCTTTTTCTTTCATTTTCACTTGTAATATAAATCTTTGTAATTAATTGGAAAACTTAAGAATGGGAATAATCATCACGTGCACACGTAATTTATATTCATATAATTATTCATTACTTTACATTTGTGGTAGAGTAAAGATAAGGTTGAGGTTCAACGATTGATGTTGAAATAAATTTGAAAATATTAACGTAACTGTTTTATTCAAAACACACACACACATACACATACAAACATACACGTATTCAAATATGCATTTATAATTTCAATACTTCGTACACGTCTCATTCCATGATCGACGAGTTTACATGTGTGTTCGTGCATAATAATATAATAAATAATAGGAGTATATTAAAAAAATAAATAAAAAACCTCGACCATTAGATTAAACATTAGAAAAGAAATATGATAGATAGAAAAATAAGATAAGATGTGATCTCGGTCATAAAAAAAATTGATTTTATTTTTCTTACGAATATAAATAAATCCTTTTTTTTTTTTTCTTCTTCTTTCTTTCTCTTCCACGTGTTTTTTAATCGAACGTCATTTTTTTTTTTACACGCATTAATGGGACCAATGCAATCATATTAAGTAACATTATTAAATCTATTAAAAGATAATCTTTGTATACCGTAAGGTTTATCCAGTTTTCTATCTGTTTATCATTAAAGTCAAATGGAATAAATTTTACGTACCGATTTGAACCCATTACCAATGTACATAACGATAATATGCTATACCATAAATCATTTCGAATAGGTTCCTATATGTTAATACAGAGTTAAGTAGATATCATTTGTAGATATTTTCGCGTAGAAATCCGTTGCCGAGTAATTTTAAGTTTATTCGATTCATTTTTCCCCCCCATGTATAGTAAACGATTTCGAAAATGTGAAAGATAAATATTTAAGATTTTTAAATAAATAAAACAAAATATTCAAATATTACAAATGAACGTACCAATCGAATTTAATTTCGTTTTATTGTAAAATTATTCCAAAAAAAATAAAAAAATGATTGAAGGATGAAAGAGGGAGGGGGACTCAGGTCATGGTGAATTCTCTGTAAAAATTTTCTGAATGATTTCATTCGGTCATGCAATTAGTAAAAATTGTCTGACAATAAATTGAAAAAAAAAAAAAAAAATAAAAAATATGAAAGATTGTTAGATAAATCTCGTAAAAGTGTGTATGTGTGTATGTGTTTTGTAATTGTAAAATGTGTGTATGTAATTGTGTAACACAATTACACAATTAAAAGTGTGTATGTGTTTTGTAATTGTAAAATGTGTGTGTGTAATTGTTGATTAAATTATAGTAATAATTTATTATTTAATAGTACTCATTTATTTATATATATATATATGTATATATTAATCAAAGTGGTTGAGGAGAACACGTTGTAAACACTTTAGAGAATCCGTTAGATGTTCGTTCTAGCATGATAAAGCATCGGATTATGGTGTAGATAATGAGAATAATCAGTGATGACCGTAGCTGACAACTAACAGGATTGACCGATCAGCTTACACAGATAAGGGTGTCTTTTGTTAATAACAACCTTATTCAAAGTTACGCGTTATTAAAGCTCAAATTATTAGAGGAAGATACGTTGATTAGTATAACGCGTAAGATAGAAATTTAATTAATATCAAGAGAGAGAGAGAGAGAAATTAATTTAATATATATTATATTTATTATATTATTTAATGAATTTAATTATAAAATTAGTATTTTATTCAATTGTTTCTCTAATCGAATAAAATGATCGTCGATCATTTATTTCTCGTTTAAATTGTTAAGCATTATTATTTAAAAAAAGTTTCTATAGTGAAATATTATATAACATCTTCTTTTTTTTTGTATTATACAAAAAATATAACGATCGTAAGTATTCGTTCGTAGGGAACGTTGATTATTGGATTTTATTTTCGCAGCAGGGGTGAGGGTTGATTGCAGGTTTTATCAGATTAATATAATTAGTAAAGATTGTAGAATTATTTTTTACATTATTTTTAATTAACTGTTCCCCCTCTCCTCCTTCTCCCTACGCATGGGACACCTTATGAGATATTTCGTTAAATTAATCCGATGTCTAATTAAATCAGTTTCGGTATAAACGTCTAATTAAAAGATTTCCGTGCTTCTTTAAAGATTCTTCTAATAGAAATACATATATATATATATATAT